GCCTCCGCGCCTCAGCCTCCCGCCTCAGCCTCCCGCCTCAGCCGCCCGGGGCGCGCTGGCAGCGACCGGCCCGCCCGAGCGCAGCGGCCTGTGCTTGTCCTTGCAGCACGAGCCGGCAGCTGGTGCCCGCGCTGGGGTCCCTGGGCGCCAGGCAGAAGCACCAACTCCCCGACCTGCCGTACGACTATGGCGCCCTGGAGCCTCACATCAACGCCCAGATCATGCAGCTGCACCACAGCAAGCACCACGCGGCCTACGTGAACAACCTCAACGCCACGGAGGACAAGTACCGCGAGGCGCTGCAGAAGGGTAGGTGCGGGCCCACCGCGGCCCCCAGAACCGCCCGGCCACGGGGCGGCCGGCGCGCCTCCGCCGAGGCTCCTGTGTTCGCACGGCTCCGTGCGCTCTTGAAATTCACAGGGAAAGGATCCTTGTGGGAAACGGAAACAGGCTCGTGTTTACTTACGAACGTTTAGAATTCAATGAAAATGTAATATGGAGTTACTATTTTTTTTTTTTTTAAAGTCCGGTTGACAAAACCAGTCGCTCGGGGACGTTGCGTGTTGTGCGCCTGGGGGTGTAGGTGGGAACAGTGTGATTTAATGTTTCTGCACAAAACACCCTTACACTTTCGACCTATTAGTTTAAGCAGCGTTTGCAGAGTAGGTAATTGACAGTCGTGTTTCCAGACTACAGATATGGCCCCATGAGCAACACAGTTACAAGCGTATTTTCCTTAAACAGACCTATTTTCGTTGACTTTCAGCCCTGTGAAGTAGGTGGAGTGAATTTTGGACAGCAGCATCTTGTTGACTGGGGGGCACCTAGTGGGAAAGTGTAGTATTTCAGCCTGACTGTGTGCGAGGCAAATGGCTGCACCAGGAGGAAGCCGCGTCCCGGAATGCTTGTTTACCCCGACCTCGGAAACCCCGAGCGTGGCAGGAGGCTCTGAATGCCGTAGGAGTCTTGGTGGCTTAGGACATAACACTGTGGGTAGCAGTGAGGCTGGGGAATATCCCAGTTGTGAAAGTGTTTCCTGTATGACAACATCTGACACCGGTGAACCCCTCTCTTCAATATTTGAAAAACAGATTACTTTCCCTCCTTGTGCAATCGAAGCTTTACTTGTTTAATGAAAGTCACTGGAAAAAAAAAGCTTTATGTCACTTTCTGTATTGCCTGTAAATAAGTACCTGCAGAGCTTTTTTTTTAATTTAAAAAGTTATATTTTAAAACTTGTTAAAGAGCTAAATCTTCATGTTTGAAATTTGGGATAAAAGGAGTATAAGTAAAATTACAGCCTCTCATCACATACATGTAAGATGCTTTTCAAAGAAACACTGTTTGACGGAAGAAAAAAACTGAAGTGAAGTCAAAGAAAACGTTGAACTTCAGAAAAGTTCTTAAAGGCAGATCCTAAGTCCCCCCAAATTTCTGTTAAAATTGAAAAATTATTAACTAAACTTTAAGAGATTGAAATTATTAAACAAATTCTCAATAAATATGTTTCTTTCCCATTAGAAAAATGTAGTTACTGTTGACTTATTAAAACACAATTTAATAAACTTACATTTATTTTTAGGGTGACTTTCCAAGAAAAATTGATAAAGGGAGACACTGATCTGTGAGAAAATTATTTTGTAAACATAACAGCAAAAAGTTGGCATCTTAAAAAAACTCTTAAAGATCAACTGCGTCTTCAGGTACACGTGGTCCTCTCCTCTGAATTGCTAACCAGCTGGAGGTGTGGCCTTGTTTCAGGAAACAGTAGTATTTCTTACATTTGTTCTTAGTGTGCCTTAGGAACAGAAGTATAGAGCTTTTCTATGATGTAAACTTTGAGCAGTGAGTGCTCAGTGGTTCTTTGTGTCCTTCACTTTGAGTTCAGTTCATCTGTAACTTCTAGAAGGCATAGAAAACATTTTATTTTGCCTGCTTGTCAAGCAAGGTAAGAAAAAAAGCCTTTAAACATGACATTCTTTTTTTTTTTGAGTACTATAGATATCAGAATTTTTTTACCTAGAAACTACATTCAGCATATTCAATGACCTAGTCAGTCAACAAGCATTCATTGAGTGTCTGCTCTGTATGAGGCAATTTCTCAGGCCCTGGGACACAGCAGTGCATGGAAGTCCTTGTCCTCACTGGAGCATCCATTCTAGTGGGGAGACAGATGAACAAGTAAATATGTAGGATGGCAGGGGTTGTCTTAGAAAAGCAAGTAGAGGATTTGCCTGTTTTTTTACTGTGGTTAGAGAAGGCTTCACTGATAGGATTGGTGGTTCAGTAGGAACTTGGAGAAACGAGGCAGTGAAGCATCAGGCTGCCTCTGGTGTTTCCCCATGGGAAGCTGGGCAGCCCTAAGCTGGGAGGGCGCTAGCTGCTCTTGTAAGAGCGCCAAGGCCAGTGTGACTGGGGCCGGGCCAGCTAGGAGCTGTGGAGGGTCACTCGGGCGTGTAGGGCGGGCATTTCTGTAGCTGATTGTAAGGACCTGGGGTTCACTCTGAGAGGAGCAGCCTGTGGAGGGGTTTGCCTAGAGGAGTGCTCTGATCCATGTGGCGTCTATAAGAGCCTTCTGGCCACTGCTTTGAGAACAGACTGTTAGGGCAGATGTGGAAGCAGGAGATAAGCGCCTGAGGGTGGCAGGAATGCTGGTGGGAGGTAGATGCTGCTGGCCTGCACCAGATATCGGAAGGCATTGGATTTTGCGTGTGCTTTTTTTTTTTTTTTTTTTAATTTCCCTTTT